CGGGATGGAGATTCGTGATCCAAGGCTCACGCCAAAGAAGGAGCGCCTCGGCGACTGTCCTGGATACCCATGCATGGGTTCATTGGATGCAAAGCCGTCGCTAGCGGTCGAACGGCCAGGCTACTCTAAGAACATGGGAAACTGAGTGCTGGTCCCTCAGGCCGTAACAAAAAGAAAACGATTGCCAAATAATTAAATAGACCGGATGATTATCTAGACCGGACCTCACATACCATAGTCAGGTAAGTACCCAAACCCGAGCTGAGTTTTGGTTCGGAACCAACATCAATCCAGGCAGCATGGAACCTAATGGTGGTCCCTGGTGAGTTCTATGAAGGGAGGGCTGAACCCCAAACCCCAGACCCATGTAACTCTGAACAGAAATCCCCTTCACAGACAAGTTGAAAAAGGCAGAATCCACTGAAGGTCTGCAAAACGCTGAAGCTGTGCTGTTCAAAATGGACGAAATCTCTCATCCTAATGCATAAACTTGTGGTGGGACACCACTACAGCAAGGGAACCGAGACCAACTGGCATAAGGATTGTGGATTGATTTTGAACAATCCAGGCAATATGGGGTTGCGATGATTTGTTTGTGTCATCCTTGTGTTGAGAGCTTTAGAATTGTGGATTGAAATTGAACAACCCGGTAAAATAGGGAACCCAGCCAAAATGATGGAGTTTCCTTATAACTCCAAACCTTTCCCATGTATGTATAACCCATCACGCAGATTGTCGAACTTGTCTGACCCAAAATGGTCAAAATCAACCCACAAGGTAAACACTCAAAACGCCAACAACTGCATTGGCACCCAAGCACCCACGTGCACATGCACATACGCATATAATCACTTCCCCCTTTTAACATTAGGGGGCATTTAGGGGTCCAATACTAAACCAATACTAAACCAATACTAAACACATGGCAGCAACTCTTGCCCACCTTCTCACTTTTCTGCGCTCTGTGGCGCCTTTGGACGTTGGCTGTAGGCGTCGGCAATCCAACTTGTCAAGTGAAGTGCCTATTTTTGAGCCTTGCAGCAGCATGCCTTGTCCTAGAACCTCGCATAGCTGCGGGTTGGATTGCCAAGCCAGACTATCATTTGAAGCAAAGGCCGCTACGCAGACTAGAGATCTCCACAAGCGAAGCCCTCTTTGCAAGCATGAGCTTTGTTAGCTAGTGACAAGCTGTGATCTTCAAAGGCTTTGCAGCCCCTGGCCCGATACGGCTTGGAGATCTCAGCCTTTTTGCAGTCTCAAGTAGCCAGCCCAAGCGAGACCTGACTTTGCGCCGGAGACACTGGATGTGCAAGTGAGGTACAGTCAAACAGCGTCGAACATTCGTTTCCTCTAGGGGTGGACATTCATAGGCTGAACAGGGATACTGGTGGGTTCTGTGAGCTAATAGAAGAAGTTCTGCCGCAAGGGGTACGAGTAATCAACATGTGTCAGCGCTAACATGCAGGCTTTGCCTTTTTTGAGGTAACTGCTGAACTTGCCAACATTAAGTCTGTGATGTTTACCGTGCAGGTCGCGACCGAAGCATGCCAGCTACTCAAAAACAAGCCCGAAATCATCGCTATCTTTTGGACTGCTACTTGGGTGTGTGTGGGAAAGCTCTTTTTAGGGCACATGTTTAAACTTGATGTCTAAAACCGTTGAGAAATGCGGTGTTTTCAGCGTGTTTCAAAGAGGAAGGAGTTCATCCCCCCAACATCCCTGGCAGCTTCCCGTTAGGAAGCGTTCTATGCTGCATGCCCGTTTTTGTCAGTTGCTCTTTGGACATGGTTCGAGTCGAGTGTAAGGGGCTCTCATCAAGAAAAGCGAAAGTTACCAAGGGACGATGCTAGGTGCTCAAAGGCATCCCAACATTACCGTTATCTTTTGTACGAAGGACTCATCGTTAGAGCAAATTGTTACCCGAAGATGCGTTACCGAAGATGCGTTACCACCTCAAAATGTTTATAGACAAACCTTTATCATTTCACAGTATTTAAGCACCAACCTTTTGATCAAATTTAACTCCAGATGGAAATGCAACTTCAACGCCTGTAAGGGCCATTTTTTAGATTTTAGATGAAGCTATCTCCCGGAGATACTTTGTCACTTCCAAGTATGTGCTTAGATTGCAAATAAACACTTGTTCACCTTAAAGTCATTGAACACAAACCTCCGAATCACGCTTTTTCCACAGAAATGCGTTAGGCAGCAACAGGAGCATATGACGAAGCTCTTCTTAAACCACGTAGTTCAAACCGTTTTTGAGCGCGTGGACAAACGCGGTGTTGCTGGCGTGTTTCAAGAAGGCAACGTTGCATCCCCGGCATCCCCGGCAACTTGTCGTTTCCAGTAAAACATGTCTTGGTTTCATTTGGCTCAAGCTGGTATGGTGATGCTGGTCTTTCGATGCAGGGAAAGTGTCAGTGTAGTTGGGATAGTGTGTGCAAGTTCTTGTCTTCATCCGGTACACAGCCAAAGGTTTTCAGGGCAGGCATTTTGAGAACAAGAATCTGCCGCGGGGCAATGGAAGCAATTATCAACACCTGCTGCACGGCGACCCGCTGCCACAACTCCACAGCACTCTCTGGCTGCTTCCATGGGCCGAGGCGGGCAACGCGAAGCGCTTACAATGGGTGTACCGCAGAAGCGCCTCGTGGCTGTCAGTCGACATCGATGCTGCCTTAGTGACCAGGCCATCCAGCCAAATCACGTTGGATCCCGATTAGTAAAGGGGGCCAGAATTGTAGAAAGTTTCATCCCTTATTCCGGATCCCCCACATTGTTTAAGGGGGCCAGAATTGTAGAACATGTTTTTGCCCGAAATCCAAAATCTGACTCACAATTGAATTTTAACGGTAAAAATAAAAACACCCCAAACAATCAACCCAAAACCATGTTTGGCCAAACTCCACATTTAAAAAGATGACCTAAATCTGATTTAGCTGGCGGCGAGTACCTGAGGCCTGGGCAGGTCGTGGAGGCCAAACTTAAGCGTCTCGCCTTCTCTTCCACCACCTGACAGGGTAGAAAGACCAACCCCCAGTCACTGACAGGGTAGAAAAACGTGGTTTCTTCTACGAAGTTTAGCAAAACGACCGAAACACAGTTTTCTACCCAAAAGTCAGGAAGTGAGAACTTTAGCGTGGGTGAGCAACCCTGAAACTGTTCCCCGGTGCGCAAATTCTGACCGTTCCCCGTCTCAAACACTCCACGCCTCTTTCAGCCGCCTGTCCTGTTCCTCTAGCTGCCTTTTGATGCCCTTCACGCTCTGCTTGATCTTGGAAGCAAGCCACAATATGTTTTTTCCCGAATGCGTAGAAAAGGCTATTCGTTATAGAAGGGGGTCTGGGGGTCAGCCAGTGTTCGCCAGATGTGTCGCTGCGGCCGCGAGCGTTCGCAAGCGTTCGCAAGTGGAAAAAGTTGCTGTTCCGGTGGGGAAGCTGTCGGAGGACGCTTTTCGATGAATCTTGGAGTGTTGAATTCGTTGGCCCTGTGCGGGAATCGTAGCTTTTCGCACGCCAGACGTCATTTCGCTGCACAGGCGCGGCGTTTCGTGAGGTTCAGTGTCCGCGTTGTAAGTTCAATGGGATTGGCGTTTCAGGGCGTGTCATTTTGAGGTGTTCTGCTTGGAATGCTCGGGCAAGCGTTCGCTCGAGTGTCGTTTTCGTTGGCCCTGTCGTGCAATCGGCTCGTTTTGGCGACTTGAAATTTACTCAAAATCGGTCGAAATCATTCTGGCACCACAGTCCTGTGCAAGTTTCCCGCATGCGATCCGAATGTGTCAAGGTCAGTTTTCGTGGCAGGCGCGGCATTGTGCATTTTTCATCTCGCTCGAAACGCATTTCGCGTGACAGGCGCGGCACTTTAGAGCACTTTATGCAAATTGCGTGACAGGCGCGCCATTTTATAGCTTTTCGTGCGAATTTCGCGGCCGGCGCAGCACTTTGAAGCTTGCAGATTTCATGGCAGGCGCGGCACTTTGGTGAGGTCGAGTCGCTCTCGCTGCGGCGCGGTGCACATTTTGAACACGCAAAGTGAACCCTGCTTTCTTCGCGTGCGCTAAATTAAACTTAGTATCTTGAGGCGGCGCGGTGGGACCGAGCCTACTTTGCGAAAATATGGCCCTCTGGTGGATCGGCGTGGCCGAGGTGCAAAAACTTAAGGTTTCTTGCGTTTTTGGATTTGTGCGCGCGCACCGCCCTCAGCCTCTGCGGGGATCGCGCTTGTCGAATCGCTCTCGCTGTGGTCCCGTTCGAATCTTCGAAGTCCGCGCAGGGGTCAGTCTGGAAAGTCGTAACTTTAAGTACAAAAGTAGCACGCAAAGCACGCCCCGGCAGCTCCAGCTGCAGAGTCGCAACTGCTAAACGCAAAGCGGCGCGAAGTGCGTTTCTGAAGCTCCAGGTGCAAAGTCGCAACTCTCAAGCACAAAAGTCGCGCGCAGAGTACGCAAGAGTTAATTGTCGTAGATGTCCAAATATAATTATGAAAATTAGCATAAGTAAAAGCCCTCCTGGCGGCTTGGCTCACGGGGCCGCGTGGCATGGTTGCTAGTTCAAATGGACTGGGTCAAAACCCTGTCCACTTGGTGACATTAAAAGCCTGCCAAAAGCGGGCTGCCTATTTTGAGACGAGCTGGGATGAGATTTGGCTGTGTGTGTTTTTGGCGGTGACCTCCAAACATGTGGTTGGTTGGTTGGTTGGTTGGTTGGTTGGTTGGTTGGTTGGTTGGTTGGTTGGTTGGTTGGTTGGAACATTCGTTGTTTATCTTCCCCAGTGATGTCCTTTTCCCCACGTGTCTCTTATTGGCCGAACTAAAGATAACCTCCAGAATCCTCCAAGCGTTGCGTATTGGTACCCTAAATGCCCCTTTTAAGCCCTCTTTTGGGTACCAATAGACAGCGCTTGGAAAGGGAAACCACAGAAACAAATTGTTTTGGAGGGTCCCTCAAAAAACAGGCAGACCCACATCGGTCTTGAACTGGCACAAAGGGCTGTAATTACCCAAAACCCGGTCGTACTGGGCGCATGGAAACATGTGATACCCTTCCAAGGTCGACGTGCCCCCCCGAAGGGGA